CAGTCCACAGAATCTAGTCAGACTATCTAGAGTCCCTTGTTTTAGAAAGATCAGCTCTTCTTCATCTAGCAGCAATCAGTTAAATAAGGGTAATTTTAAGGACAGCTGCCTAGCTTCATGAACTGTTTTGAGGCCAAGCAAAAATCGATAGGAAGAGCAATCGCCATGCCTCCTCAAAGAGTTCAGTGCTCAGTAAATGCTAGCATTCATATTTCTGCTCAGAGGATTCATTTTATAAGTCGTTAAGAGTAAAGTGACAACTATATGACAAATTCAAATTTTAATGGTATAATTTTGCATTAAAAACTTGAGTATTGTGTTTATACTTTGTATAAACAAATGTGTCAGTTGTGATTTCAGGCCACTAATAACTTTTCTTTTTCAGGTGTGTCTTAAAAGAATTAGAAACATTGGGAAAGGACTTATATGGAGCAAAACTGATTGCTCAAAAATGCCAGGTTCGAAATTGTCCCCATTTCAAGAGTGCAGTGAGTGGATCTGAGTGTCTGCTGTCCATGGTGGAAGAGGGGAATCCTCATCACTATTTTGTGGCAACACAGGTGATGCTTCTTATAAAATTATGAAGCAGTTTTAACTATCTTCATGTATACTTCATGTGGAGCTATTTATAGTCAGAAAAGTTCAGTGTGTATGAACTTATTTATGTACTGTGGTGCTGGGGATTGGACCCAGGGCCTTATGAATGCTCAGCTAGGGTTCTACCACTTAGCTACAATCCAAGTCCCTAGGTTTGGACTTTTTTTCTTTTTGGGGTCTATTTTTGAGACAGGGTCTCCTTGTAGCTCCAGCTGACCTGGAACCCACTGTGTAGATCAGGCGGGCCTTGAACTCACAGAGATTCTCCTGCCTCTGCCTCCCGAGTGCTAGGATTAAAGGCATGTGCCCTCATACCCTGTTGGATGTCTTAAAATGCTGATTGGAATCAACAAAAACAGTTGTTTGAGAATCGGAGGAAAGGACCTTAAGTATATTGAGTTTCTTCTTAGAGCAGTTTCTTTTTTTTTTTTTTTTTTTGGTCTTTTTGAGACAGGGTCTCCCTGTAGCCCCAGCTGTCCTGGAACTCATTTTGTAGACCAGGCTGGCCTTGAACTCACAGAGATCCACCTGCCTCCACCTCCCAAGTGCTGGGATTAAAGGCATGTGCCACCACGCCCGGGGAGCAGTTTCTTTTTGAGAATGAGAAATTGCTACCTTTGGCTCCAGGGTTTGCAAGGGAAGAATGGAGCAAAGGTTCTGCACTCCGTATTTGTAACTGCTTCGTGGTCCTCAGTTACACTATTTCTCAAAAAGTCTGGCTGCATGTTCTTTTAAGACTGCACAGCACATTGAAGGTGGTTAAAGACCAGGAGGCAAGAGGAGAGAGTCTGTTGATGCTAAGATCTTCATATACATATGCAATGCTCAGTTACACTTTCGGAATTATAAAATACAGTGACAAAGCTGAACCTGGAATCTGAACCAGCTAATTTCTACTTTGTTTCAACCTTTCTCTGTTAATGTTTTCAAAGAATGTCTTAGGGTAGAAACAAGGGAAACTTCTAATAGATTTACTTTTGCCTTGGTTTATAATTCACAGCCCTAGAGTGTTGACAAATCAGTTCAGAGTGCTGCTGCTGATTACCTGTTTCAGCTTAGTTTTTTAAAAATATTTTCTGCCCTGTATCATTATCAAAACAGTGGTCTGAGAAATAAAATCTGTAATCTGTTTTATTTTTTATGGGCATGAGTGTTTTGCCTACATGTATATAGGTGTACCCATATGTGCAATGCCCTTAGAGGCCAGAGGAAGGAGTCAGATTCCTCTGGAACTGGAGTTACTGGTGGTTGTTAGCTGCTTATCTGGGTTTTGGGAATCGAACCTCAGTCCTTTGCTAGAGCAGCCAGGGCCACTGAGCCATCTCTCTAGCCCATCTTTTATTTTTAATATAGCCCTCTTTAAGTACTTAGAAATTTATTTTAGTTACCGTAATTGATATATTTAAAACTAATTCTTTGTTTTTAATAGGATCAGAATTTGTCTGTGAAAGTAAAGAAAAGACCTGGAATTCCTCTCATGTTCATTATTCAGAACACTATAGTTTTGGACAAACCTTCTCCCAAAACAATCACCTTTGTTAAATCAGTAGAGTCAGGCCAGCTTGTCTCAGTGCATGAGAAACAAAGTATCAAACAGCTCAAAGAAGAACATGGTTTAGGGAAAAACCCTGACCGGAGAAGAAGAAAAAAGAAGAAAGTAAGTGGCCCCAATCCACTCAGTTGCTTGAAGAAAAAGAAGAAAACACAGGACGAAAAGTCACCTGCTTCGGAAAAGAAGAGGAAAAGGAAAAGAATCCGGAACAGATCTACCTCAGAAGCCCTTTCTGAGAAGCAGCCTGCAGAAGGGCAGTGAGTGTCTGAGTACTCTGGAAGACACTTATGTGAAAAGCAGATTTCCTTCTAAACTGTTAAAGTGTTTATAACAAAAGACTAAACTTAGGTTTCCAAATTAATATTGACACATACTTTTGCCTAAAGTTAAAGAGTGTTCAGGTTTATTTACCAGAGTTCATCATCAATTGTTTGGAGAGGTGCTTTTTCATTTTAAAGTTACTATCTCGTTTCTCCCTTCTCCTGACTCCCAAGTGTTATATCTGTGTGTGGTGTATGCATTTGTGTGTGTGTGTGTGTGTGCGCGCGCACGGGTGCATGCACACATGCATAAAGAAGCCAGAGGTCAACATCAGGTGTCTTCCTATTTTTGAGACAGTGTCTCCCATTGAACCTGTAACTTCCTGGTTCAGGAGGCTGGCTGGCCAGTAAGCCCCATAGATTCACCTGTCTCTCCTCCCTAGTGCTGGGATTACTGGGGTGTATTGCTGCACTTGGGTTTTTACAAGCATGCCAGGGATCTGACCTCAGGTCCTCATGTTAGTGACTGACCCATCTCCTCAGCACCATATGTATAAAATCATTTCTTAGACCTGCAAAATGGCTTAGTAGGTAAAGGCACTTACTACCAAGTGTGTACTAAGTGTAAATTTAATCCCTGAGACCCATATGATGGATGGAGAAAACTGGCTCCTGAAACTTGTCCTTCGATGTGTCCATAGGTACACAGTGACAGGCATGTCTGTGTGTCCTCTCCCCCATGAATGTAATTTAAAAAATAGTCCTAGTGGACAAGAGAAGGTAAGCCTCCAGTTAATATATACTAATAATTAAACAGTTCTGCAAAGCTTGCGACAAAAAGGCAGTACCTTAGACATTTAGAGAAACTGTCCTCTTTCAACTGTTAAAATTTATGTGTCCAAATTGCACAATATAATGCTGCTCTTTGCTCTTAGTGGAATAGAAATTGTGTTTATACATCTCTCATTTTTCTAATACATAAATGTTTTAATGTTTATATGTCACATTCATTATTTTCATAACTAGAGTTGCAGATTGTCCTAGTCTGTTTCTCCATTGCTGTGACAAAACACTTCCAATATCAACTTGGGGAGGAAAGAGTTTATTTATCTTATATCCCCTGGCTCACAGTTCATAGGGGTGGGGGGCAAGGTAGGAACTCAAGGCAGGAACCTGAAGGCAGGAGCTGGAGCACAGGCCATGGAGGAATGCTGGTTACTGGCTTGCTCCCCTGGCCCCTGCTCAGCCTGCTTTCTTATGCAACACAGGCCCACCTGCCCAGGGGTGGCACTACCTGCAGTGGGCTGGGCCCTCCCACATCATCAAGAAGCTGCCCCTCAGACATGGCCACAGGCCAGTTGAATAGAAGCTATTCCCCAACTGAGGCTCCCTCAATCCAGGTATGTTAAGTTGACACTAAGGATATCCAGCACACAGATTTTTCAGCATCGTTCATGACTAAACAAAGACATGCACTGATTACATTTATTGTGGTGTTTGCTGTTCCTGAAGTTAATGGTCTCGTTTTCTTCTAGCATCTGACCTACATCCTCTGTATTCACCACTATCACAGTAAAGGCCCTCCCAATATGATTTTCTGTGTAATTACACACATCCAATAGTACCAGGTTATTTTTCACCCTGGAGGTGATTGACTGGGTTCTCCTGATGTCTTCCAATGTGGCCCAATTTTCTGCTGAGCTGTTCCTCAGCTGCCACTTAGGAACTTGTCCTTATCCAGACACTGTCATGTTGATCTTTTAGCTTTCTTTTATTCTTCGGTACTATTGCTGTAGTAGAGCATAGAGAGGTAAAAATCCATATTTGGAGGCTGTCTATCTGTGCCTTTATTACAAACAACAGGATTCTTAGTTGAAAGTTGTTTCAATTTTCCTTAATCTCATATGTTTACATTGTATTGGGGAAATGTCCCTTTACCTTTTCAGCCCCATGTGTTCAGTAATATGCAGATTTTCTTCTAGAGCTGATCTTAGTGCCACATCCAATAGCTAGAATTCCACAACAATAATCTAAGACTGGGTGTGTTACTGAAGCGTCCAAATTAGTTCCTTTGGGAATTAAGTAACCGAACTTGTTTGGGAATTAAGTAACCAAACTTGTCTCTTTCTGCTTCCTGATACAATCATTTAGTGAGCTAAAATTTGGATGTTTTTGTATTGTAAGACTGAAGTGCAGAACTCTGGGATGAGGCCCGAGTGGCTTCCTGTGACGTGTTGGAACAATGGTTCTTAGTCTGTGTTTTAGAGAATCATGACAGTGTGAGTACATGGAGAAGGTCTCACTAAGGTCAGAGTAACTCTTTCTTTTTTTTGTCTTTTTGAGACGGTCTCCCTGTATCCCCGCTGGCCTGGAACTCGCTATGTAGACCAAGCTGGCCTCGAACTCACAGAGATCCACCTGCCTCTGCCTCCCAAATGCTGGAACTAAAGGCGTGTGCCACCACACCTGGCTCAGAGTGAAAGTTTCTTTTATGAGACAATTCAGCTTCCTACAGAATGCCATTCTCTGCATTCAGAGATGCTCTGATGGAAACTGGGAACACAGCTTTTGATAAGGAACAACACAGTTACACAGCAAGCCAAAGTAATGTTTGTTTTGAATTGCAATTTCATGGTTTTTTTTTTTTTTTTTTTTGGTCTTTTTGAGATAGGGTCTCTGTGTAGCCCCAGCTGACCTGGAACTCACTATGTAGACCAGGCTGGCCTTGAACTCACAGAGATCCACCTGTCTCTGCCTCTGGAGTGCTGAGATTAAAGTGGGCCACCACGCCCAGCTGATTCTGTCTTAAATTCTTGACATTAGCATTTTAAAGAAGGAAGGTAAATATGCTGGGGAGAAGTGAATATAGTTCTCCCTGTGAGAAAGAAAGGCATCAGTAATGCTAGAGTTATCTAATGAAATGCAGTGGTGATGCTTAAGAACCTGAAGAAAATGTGGAAGTTAATTATTCTAACAAAGTCTGTACTTACCCAGTGCTTTCTGCCTATTGAAAGGGGCTGAGTTAGAACTAGACCACTGAAAAACATGTAATACAGTAATTACTAAAATTGCCTTTGATCCCAGCATTCAGGAGGCAAAGACAAGACAGGTCTCTCTTGAGTTTGAGACCAGCCTGGTCTACATTGCTTAATTTTATTTTATTTTTTACGTACCATGAAAGGGGTTTATTGGACTGGCTTCCATGATACAGTTTGGTAGTCCAACAATGGCTGTCTTTTAAATTGTTTCTCATGTGTATTTGTCACAGTGATGAAAATTCTAATGAACACAATCAACAACTTTATACCTAATTAACATTTTTTATTGTTGTTGCTGCTGTTTTGAGACTGGGTCTCCCTGTAGCTCCAACTGACCTGGAACTTGCTATGTGGACCAGGCTGGCCTCCTCTGTCTTCCCAAGTACTGGGATTGAAGACATGTGGCACCACACCCAGCTAATTAGCATTTCTTTATATTAAATTCTCTGTTTACATAACTGGTGTGAGTTTCTTTTCATTTCACCTAACCTTGTCCTAATGTAAAGGTTCTAATGGCCAGTACTGCTTCTTGCTTTCTGGAACTTGGGTAAAGGGATCAATTCTCCCTAAATTACAAAAATTGAGATTGGATAAGGGATAGTTTGACAAACAAGGAGTTACTATTACCACGACAGGGAAAGACAAAATACATATCTAACACTGTTATCTTTACAAATTATAAAACTTGTGTTAGGGTCCGTGACTCAGTGGGTCTCTTCAGGAGAACAAATGCACGAGTATGGAGATGCAAAAATCAAGCAGAGTTTTATTAAACCAGCTAGCTGGGGCCGACTATCCTTCCAAGACACGCAGGTCTGGTTAGAGCGATCGACCCCGAGGCAATTTCAGGTAAAGATTATATAGGCTCCCACAACCGTTACACAAAAGCCCGCGTTTATACAACCAATAGTTTCAAAGCAAGCATTTCACAAACCAATAACTTCAAAACAAGAAAAATGTTACAACTCCCTTCAGGTGTCTCAATCGGGGAGGGATGGGTGGTATGTGCCTGGAGCGGCCCTTCCCTGTTATCTTGTGTAAGCAGATATGCCTACGTGACACGATACAGATCAGACAGGCCAGGCTCCAGGGGCTGCAGCACTTGCCTCTATCTCTGGATGCCTGTGTCTCCAGTTGAGTTAATTGGTTACAAGCAGTAAATTCAAACAAGTAAATTCAAGCAGCAAATTCAGACAAGCAGTAAATTCAAGCAGCAAATTCCTCTTTCCCTAACACTTGGATCCTTCCGCTCCCCCAGACTTGCAGTCCAGAGCTCCATCCCTGAGATTCAAAAACAATAAAAATAGCAAAAAGTGCACATCTAAGGATGAAAAAAACAAATGGCTGAGAAATACTTAAAAAAATGTTCATCATAGCTGGGCGTGGTGTTACACACCTTTGATCCCAGCACTTGGGAGGCAGAGGCAGGTGGATCTCTGTGAGTTCAAGGCCAGCCTGGTCTCCATAATGAGTTCCAGGACAACTGGGGCTACAGGGAGACCCTGTCTCAAAAAAACGAAAAAAAAAAAAAAAAAAAGTGTTCATCATCTTTAGTCATCAGGGAAATGCAGATTGAAAGCACTTTGAGATTTCATCTTACATCACTCAGAATGGCAAAGATCTGAAAAGCAATGACATGATGGTGGGGATGAGAAAAGGGGAACTCTTATCCACTGTTGGTGGCAGTGGAAACTGGTGCAACCACAGTGGAAATCAGTGTAGAGATTCCTCAAAGAGCTTGAAATTGATCTACCATACAATCCAGTCATACTACTCTTGGGTATATACCCAAAGGACTCTATACCCTACTACAAAGATACCTGTTTATTCATGCTCATTGCTGCCCTTTTCATGATAGCCAGGAATTGGAAACAACCTAGATGTCCATCAACTGATGAATGGATAATGAAGGTGTAATACACATACCCAATGAGATATTATTCAGCTCTTAAAAAAAAAAAAGAAGTAATCAAATTCACAGATAAATGGCTAGAACTGGAAACAATCACCCTGAATGAGGTAACCCAGACCCTGAAAGACAATGTTGCATGTTCTTTCTTACTGCTATAATGCTAGCTTTGAAACCTTAGACATGAATGTTTCAATTTAATAATCCAGATACCATGGGTTGGGAAGGTGGAATGTAATGATATGAAGGGGAAAGGGGGAACATTGGAGTAGGAAGGGTTAAATGGATGGGGAATGGGAGGGCAGGGGCAGAAGAGGGAGAATGGGGAGGGAAAAGTAACACTAAAGGCCTTTAGAAAAAGTCATATGGAAACCTACCATTATAGAAACTTCTTAGAGTATATATATAGATATTATGAAAAGAGATTAAAAGAAGTTACACTATAATGGGGACATTGCCCTTTCTAGATGTCATAGGCTAATGAAAAAAACAATAAAAAACTCTTCAAAACAGGAATAGACTCCCTCTCTAGAAGCTTTTGGCCAATGGTCTCATAGATCCCTAAACAATACTGGCTGTTGCCCCTGCTCTTGGTTACCCACTAGAACTTGATGATAAGATCCTACTGCTAAAGACACTACATGCATGGGCTATAGAACAAACGGAAACATCAACATGCTGCTGACTTCAGAGCCTCATCTCTACTGGCTAGGATCCATAGTGCTAGAAGTTGCCATGAGTGCTACCACAAGAAAAAAAAATCAGCATCACTACCCAATTTGTGAATCCTGTGAACTACAACAACTGGCCTGGCATGATATGCCCACACTGGTGGCACGAATATTATGGGAGTAAAATCCACTCTGATTGGATTAAGATTCTCTTCCTAGGATGGAGCCCATACCTAACAGTGATAGCAGGCTTAGGAACCTGAGGCTAGGAAGTTCACAGGACACAGGGGAGAGCCCAGTACTAGTTTTCTACTAAATAGTTATTGTATTAAGCTGACTCCTAATGACTTATTGTTATGCCCTTAGATTAATGCATTTG